GAGGAATTTTGATGAAAAGAAGCAGCCTTTGGTGGCCACTTTGAACAAGTATGTGAAGCTTGTGAGAACTGAGCATTGTTTCTTGCTTTTTGAAGAGCTTGGCAAGACTGATAAGTGGCTTCAGTGTCTGGAGGTTTGAACCCTTTTCTTGAATTCGGGGCTTTTTCTCAATTCGTTATTGCGGTTCTTAATTAATTGTATGGTTCTGTTGGGTTCTTTTATATGTTCGTTGAATTTTTATCCATTTCTTATGGATGTGTTGTGCCTCTGAGCTAATGACTGTGCAATGCACTATGGATTTCATTTTCTTTGCGAATTTAATCAAAATTATGTCATTTACTATGTTAAAGATAAGGGTCGTTTTTGTATCCCGTAGTGCAGATTAGACTGTTTCAAAATAGTGAGAAATGAAAAGTAAGTGTTTGTCTTCATGTGCATTGGCTGTAGGTTCAAAAAATAAGTTTCATGTCTAGAAATCAAATTTTGAATAATGTTTATTGTCAGTTTTGCTACTGGCAAGTGGCTGTAAATTATTTGCTTGAATGAAGGCAAGGCAGTGGTGATGTAGTACTGTTGTTAATATCAAGGACGAGGTCTTGGTTTTACTTACATATAATGAATGTTTAGGTGTTCAGATGGATGCATAAGCAACGGTGGTATATAGCAGATAATGGTGTTTATTCGAAGTTGATATCAGTTATGGGGAAGAAGGGACAAACGAGGATGGCTATGTGGCTTTTCTCTGAGATGCGTAATAGTGGATGTAAACCTGACACCTCAGTGTATAATGCACTGATCACGGCCCACCTTCATAGTCGTGATAAAGCCAAGGCCTTGGCTAAGGCTTTAGGATACTTTGGTAAGATGAAGGGAATGGAACGGTGTCCACCTAATGTAGTAACGTATAACATCCTTTTGAGAGCATTTGCTCAGGCACGGGATGTTGATCAAGTTAACGCATTGTTCAAAGATCTTGATGAGAGCATTGTTACACCTGATATCTTCACGTTTAATGGAGTGATGGATGCATATGGGAAAAATGGGATGATTAGGGAAATGGAATCTGTTCTATCACGAATGAAGAGTAACCAGCTGAGACCTGATCTAATTACTTTTAATTTGTTGATTGATTCATATGGAAGAAAGCAAGAATTTGAAAAGATGGAACAAGTTTTTAAGAGCTTGTTACATTCCAAGGAGAAACCAACACTTCCCACATTTAATTCAATGATCACAAACTATGGAAAAGCAAGGCTGAGGGAGAAGGCAGAGTTGATTTTTCAGAAGATCACTGACATGGGATATTCCCCAAATTTCATCACTTATGAATGTGTTATTATGATGTATGGCTATTGCGACTGCGTTTTCAAAGCAAGAGAGATATTTGATAAGGTGAGAGAATCTGGGAAGGAGAAGAAGGTTTCAACACTCAATGCAATGCTGGATGTCTACTGCATGAATGGTTTGCCATTAGAAGCAGACACACTTTTTGAGAGTATACATGCCTCTAGAGCATTTTCTATTGATGCTTCAACCTATAAGCTTTTGTACAAGGCCTACACTAAAGCAAACATGAAGGAGCTGGTAAAAAAATTGATGTTGTACATGGACAAAGATGGAATCATCCCAAATAAAAGCTTCTTCCTAGATGCTTTGGGAGCTTTTGGGTCTTCACCTGCAAGCCACAAGATGGCTAGCAATACTGACGATTCAAGAAAACAAGTGACTGCTGCAAAGTTATAGGTGGAATGGACCAGTGATTTGGTTTGTCCTCTTTTGTACTTTCTATATCATCCAAAGAACGTTTGACTTATTGAGGACCATGCATCAGACCCATTGTTGAGAGGCCCCTGACAATGTCTTCTTCCAAGTTAATTGGTAATTTCTTTCTCTCATGTTGACTAATTGATAGAACACTTCCGGACTCTCTCTTTCCTGCTGCATATAAAAAGTTACGTGTCAGTTCGGAAATTATTATCACCTTTTCTGTTTCTTGATTTGGGTTTCATTTTTATGGTACTTTCATTGTGATTGCATCAACATTCTTTTGCGTGCATGCGTGTGTATTTTTTTCCTCCATTTGAGAAAATTAGAAGAGGAACCTGCATTTTGTGTACCTACCCAAAAAAAAGAAAAAAAACCTGCATTTTGTCTGAACTACAAGGCGGCTGAGCTTTTGGACAAGTTAAACATCTGTATGAAGCGGTATAACAAGAGGTTGGTATAAATATTCTGAATATGATAACTGTAGGTAATTTGTGTGTATGTAGCCATCCAAGTCTGTATATATATTTATTTACGCCACATGAGGATGACTTAATAGCAAGTCATATGATGGCCTAAAACTGTGCCTGATCAGGACTTGATTCTTAGCCCTCCCTAGTTAATGCAATTATACCAATTGCTCTGTATCAGCCCATTAGTTGTCTGGTACTAAATATCAAGTTGACTTTACATTGTGAAATAGCAAAGGTTGAAAGAGTATTCAATGTTTCTGTATAAGGTTTTTATACTAACTTATAAAATGGCAATCTCTCAGTCTCAGGATATTTCACCAAACATTAAATGCATGCCATGCTAATGCCAAGTTTCTGTACAAACTTGGCATGCTATTATTCGACATATATTTTGCTAGACAAGTACCTTATATGGTTGATGTATTGTATTCCAGGCCTGCAAAGCATATCCATCTACTTTCTTCTGTCTCCGTGGTACATTTTCTTCTTTACTTCAGTTTCCCTACTTCTTTTCTTTGTTCCTTCAAACTGCCACAGAATTGGTACTAATATTCCTTCCTCCTACTTCTCCCAGTTTGTTGCTTCATACGAGTCATTTATGAAATTCTGCTGTCTTCTGATGGATAAAAGCAACTTGTGACGTGAAGTATATTAACAATCTTTGATGCTTCAGAATCTCAATTTGATGGTGTTGGTTAAAAATGCATTAGCATCACTTGATGAGTGCTCCAGGTTGATAGTCTAGCAATTTTCTTGCTTCTTGTGACTCGGCTTTGTAGACACTGGTGAAGCTGGAGGATTCGTCACTGTCTCAGATGTTGCCTTTTAGGGCTTCAAAGATCATAGAATCATGGCTGCAATGATTTATGGTTTGTATAGGAGATTTGGAGCTAAATTACTGCAGAATTTTTTGGAATGGGATTGTAATGTCAGCGTGAAGGGTAATATTAGGGCGGTTCTCATTGAGCTTCACAGTTGTAGTTCTTGAGGTTATAGTTATTCTGATGTTTCCTTTTTTCTTTCATGCCTTTTTTTTTTGGGAAGAAGTTTCTTATATTGAATATATCTCCAGAGTTTTTGGCCAAAACAATCTTCTTCCCAACTCTTCTTGCGAAGTCGTAGAAAACATTTTGGTAGACCTTTTCTAATTATTGAAATTGTCCCGCGTAGACCTTTTTCTTGTTAGAAGATTGTCAACATTAGAGCCCAGAACAAGAAATTTCAGTAAAAAATTTCTTTAATTTTCTTGAAACTTTTTTTTTTTTTTTAATTTCTTGAAACGAACTAGGATTAAATTTTATAAACATTGTCCTAAACCAATTAGGATTAATCTTCAGAAACATTGTCCTAAACCAAATAGAATTTGGTAAGTTCTAATATGTACATCTATTTATTCCCTCAGCTCCTTCTTTCTGTAACCCGTGACATCTTATTGATCAAAAAATTTTTATCAATTCATTCATCTTAGCTCGCTGATTTTTTTCAAATCATAAAAGAGGCATATTCTTGACCATTGTTAACTTAAAAATTCTCAGAGAAAGTTACAAATTTTCGGGATGGAGACGTCAAATTCAGTCCCAAGCATTCTCAACGGTGCCATTCTCGACATCTTTTGCAGACTACCTGTGAAATCTCTAGTCCGATTCAGTGCAGTCAGCAAGCTTTGGGAAAGAGGTCTATTCGATTCCAATAAGCACTCGATCATATCCATGGAAAAATCTCCCAAAACCAACAAAAATTTTCCTCTTCTAGTTTGCTGCAAGAAATCTCATAAACAATCATGCAGCTGTCACTATGCCCTATTTGAGATTGAGAGACTGAACAAAATCAGCCTGTTTACAACTCCCTTTTGTCTTCCAGATAATTACATTCTTGCAGGTTGCTGCAATGGAATCCTATGTGTTCACAAGATTTGCAATTGCTACAATCCCAAGAAAATATACCTCTGGAATCCCTTATTGCATCAACGCAGGGCACTTCCCAAAAGCAAATCTCTTGAACATTTCACAGATTTGGGATTCTTCTTCGACCAGCGTAACGATGATTATAAAGTTGTCAAGATTTTCATGTTCCGTATAGTCGAGATATATAGTTCGAAGAGCAATTTGTGGAGGTCAGTTGACCTGACCAACATGCCTATGAGCGTCAGCCGCACCAAAGATTTTCAGATTCCTGCGGCATTCAATGGGATTCTGCATTGTCTTGTGTATAAAGTTAACTGCGGTAAAGATGCACCACCATATTCAGTGATCAAATTCAACAATGTTGAGGAAAAGTTTGAGGAGATTCTGTTGCCGGAAAGCAATCCTCTCGACTTTTCTACTGCTCGGCTTGGGGTTTATCAGGGCTGTCTTTCTTTAGCCTGTTGGTTTCCACCGCTTGGGGATGAGGTCTGGATAGTGAAGGATGATCAGGATAAAGGTACATACAAATCTTCGAAAATTGCTGTCCCAAACTCTTCAGACGGCGGATTCCAGCACTCTGACGTAAAGGGATTCACAATCAACAGTAAAGACTTAGCAGATTGCAGATGGGATATTGTTTTGTATGACTATGGAAGAGGCATCTACGAAGATTTTGGACTTGGATCTGGTTCTGGTTCTGCTTCATCTTCATATGGGCGCATTACTTTGTAGTTGATTATGTGGAAAGTCTGATACCTGTTTGGCCAGGTGCCAAAAAGGTCTTATATAGTTGTAGGAAAACAAAATTGAAGGAGAATCTCCAATTATTTATTGAAAAAGGCCGTTTTTTTTTTTTTTTTTTTTTGCTTAATTTCTCAAATTAGTTCAGCAGTTGTAGAATATAGAAGTTGATTTTAGTGATACAATAGTTCAAGTGTTTTGTCAATATAGAGATTTTGTGAACTTTTTGCACACTTGGTACTTCTCTGTTTCCAAATTGTTGAATTCCAAAGGTGGTAAAATTCCAGGACTAAATTGTTCAATTTTAAAGGTGGTAAACTTCGGATTTGACTCTTCTCCGGTCAATCCTCTCTCCATTTTTCACAATATGCATCTGGATGCGTGTTTTTATTTATTAGAAAGGGACATGATTATTTTAACTTTGACTAATTCCAACTCTTGTTAATAAATGAAGGCATGTGTCATACACCCAAATGTACACTCCGAAAAATAGAGAGAAGTCAAATCCGTAAAATCTGAGGACGAAATTAGGAAAAAGTATGCCTTCAAATAGAAGTTTAGGTGAGTTTCTCGTAGATTTGAATTTTGAACCTGCTAGCAGAGAGAACTCTAAAAATCCTTTCTAATCACTCGCCAACCTCAATGGTTGGACGAGTTTCTCATTCAGCAATTAGGTTGGCGAGTTTCTCATTCAGCCAATTGCTTGATCCAATTATTAATTGTGCTTTGCATTTTTTTCATTGGACTTAGCTCATGCACTTGATATTTTCATTCAACTTGTGATGCACAAACTTACACACAACAAAGCTTTTTCTTTTTCTTTTTTTTTTTCTTAGGAGCAAATTTTAAAACTAAGAACTTATAAACATGGTGTTAAAAGAATGGATGTCAAATTACATGAAAAGATTTGACCAGAATCTTTCATTGGAAAGACTTTGGCACCGAGGAACTATTCCCTGATTGCAATTTGCTACTTCTAGATATTTTCCTGAACCTATTTTTAAAAGAATACCAATCTTGGACAACAACAATCCATTTGTCCAAAATAGCAATAGATTTAAAAGCAAGCATAGCAAATATTATTAGTTGCTTTCCTTAAAATATATAAATAAATAAAAAGAGCAAATGTTACTTGAGGGGCACATGTAGAATAATATCACAAAATATAAGAGTATAAAAGGTCGTTTGCTATATTATGCCTCTAGTGTTCTTTTCTACAGCATGATAAGAACTTTTTATGGCTAAACTTACCAAAAGGCAGAAAGGGAATTTCTTATGGCTTGATTGAGCAAGAAGAGACAGCAATCAGGCCAAGAATTATGAAATTGAAAGAAAATAACACCTGATGTTAAAAGGACAAATACAAGAGTCTTCAAAAAGAAACAAAGTCGCATTTCTTTGCTGATAATATAGGAAACTATCTGGCAATTCTCATCTTTAATTTTGCTGCTAGTTACATGACAAAATATGGTACTGTTGACCTTGGTTGATCAGTCATTGGTTTTGATGATTAACAAACTAAAATATAGATTTGGACTAATGTTTTTATGTGAGAAATTTGTTAGAACAGGTCATTGATCCAAAAGAGAATCGAAAAGATTTGAATCAAAGAGAAGTTAAGAAATATGAAGGTTCGGACGTAGAGGATCGGACGCTCGATAGAGGATCGGTCGTCCGACTGACGACGATACTCTTCGGACGCTTGGATCGGACGCTCATTCATTGCTTCGGCTATCCGACACAAAAAGAATGAACGTTGAACATTCTGATTTCTATTGGACGCAGGGTTCGGACGCAGAACAAATGGTTCGGACGCCCGATAGGTGGTTCGGACACAGAGCAAATGGTTCGGACGTCCGACAGGCCAACGGCTAGTTTCGACAGCATTTAATATTTGATCGTTGGAGAGCCTTTTGGAGTCACTTCTCACCTTCTATAAATACCCCAAAACACAAGAAGACACGAACTTTTGGCCAACACTAAATACAAGCTTACAAGTGAGATTTTTGAGTAGAAATATTCTTTGTTGGTTGTATAAGGGGTTGGGAAAGTTGGGTTGTGAGGTTGCTCAAGTGAAGGTTACTCTCTAGGAGGAGTAAAACCTTGTTGAAGGTGAACCTATCACTTGGAGTGGTAAAACCTTGATAAAGGTTGCCTCACTTGTATAAAGTAGTTCTTAATTGAAAGAGTAAGCTTTCAATTGTAGCTAGTTGAGGGTTTACTTGGAGAGTAGTAAAATTCCTTTGCTCAACCAAAGTATGTTTGGGGTGAGGAAGGAGTGAGCCTTCACTTGTACAAGTTGGTTAGCACTACCATCACTTGAAGAAACTATTTGGTGGATTCAACTCCAAGTTTGGAAGAAGCTTGGGAGTTTCATTGGTTTGAATTTCTTTTACTTTATTGTTACTCTATTTTTGTACTTTAAAATTGTTTATATTCTTTGTCATTGTATTTACTTGACTACTTGTCTGGTTGAGTATTTTGGTTGTATTTGGTTGCATCGGGGATTACTATTGGTATCAGAGCTTGGTCTCCTAGAGATTAAGGTTAACCGTTTAGAGTAAAGATCATGGCAACCATAAAAGTTTCCTTTTTAGAAAGGCAATCTATTGATAGACCACCTATGTTTAATGGTTCTCATTTTAGCATGTGGAAACAAAGAATGATGATTTTCTTACAATCCGTTTATATTGAATTATGGTTTGTGGTAGAAGATGGTCCTTATGAAGTTAGAATAGTTGACTCTACCACTAATTTGAGTAGATTAAAGACTAGACAAGAATTGAATGAAAAAGACAAGAGATACCTTTCTTTGAATGCCAAGACCATGTATATATTGTACAATGCATTAGATGTAAATGAATCTAGTAGAATTAAAGGTTGTAAATCACTTAAAGATATTTGGGATAAATTGTGTGAATTTCATGAAGGTAACCAAGATATTAAAGAACAAAAGAAATCTTTACTTGTTTCTCAATATGAATTTTTCAAAATGCATCCTCTTGAAAATATTGATAAGATGTGTAGTAGATTTTGTGATATTATTCAAGATCTTAAATTGCTTGGAAAAGAATATTTTTTGGGTGAGAAAAATAGAAAGATTTTGAATGCCTTGCCAAAAGAATGGGAAAACAAAATAAATGCTATAGAAGAGGCAAAGGATTTAAATTCTATGTCCATTGAATCTCTTGTGAATTCCCTAACCTCTTATGAATTAAAACTGAAATTCAAAGTGCAAGAGGAAGATAATGCAAGAATGTATAAGAGAGGCATAGCTTTTAAAGCATCTCAAGTGGGGGATAACCCATCCTTCATGGGTAATGAAAACATGAAAGTGGACAATGATATAACTCCTCACATCAAAAGTTTCAAGAAAATTTTCAACAAGAGAAGTTCAAGAGGAGATTGCAAAATTACATGGGATGAATGCAATTCAAAAAGAGAAAAAGAAAAGTTGGCCCAAATGGCACTAATGGCCTTTGGAGAAAATGAGGTAAATTCTTATCACTCTTCTAGTGATGAAGATAATGAACATAATGAGGTGCAAATTCTTATGATTAAAATGCATAAAAGTTTGAGAGAATCTTATGCTAAAAATAAAGATTTGAAAACAAAAATAAATGATTTGTTGGAAGAAAACTCCAAACTTTTTCAAGAAAACAAATGTTTGAGAATGGAAAATGATGATTTAAAAAATCAAAAAGGTGTTTTTGATTGCAGAAATAATTTGAAAAGGAAGTTGGAAGAGAAAACAAAGTTTTATGAAAAAATGTTGGAGGAACAAAATTTGTTAAAGAAAAGAATTAATGACTTGAACGAGTTTCTCCAAAATGAAAAACAAAAGTTTTCTCAAACAAAAGAAAGCAAATCTTTTCAAGGCACAAATAAGTTTGCTATGATAAGAAGTAAGAAAATTAGTTGCCTTAAATCCACTTACGTGCAAAATACTTCTATCATGTGTCACTTTTGTTGCCAATTTGGACATATGCAAAATGATGCTATGTAAAGAAAAATATGAGAAAAGGTATAAAATCCATGTGGATTGCTAGATCATGTTGTACTAACTCCCAAGGACCCTATAAAAAATTACAATTGGTATTTTGAAAGTTTTGACTTTCTATATGATCTTGATTTGAAAAATAAAGGGGGAGTTTGCTTTTTGATTGATGCCAAAAGGAGAAGTAGGATTTATTGAAATTTCTTTGTATGTTGGCTTTTTCTAAGGGGGAGTTTTATTTGAACTTATTTGATCAAAAAAATCTTCATTTTGTTTGTCATCATAAAAAAGGGGGAGATTGTTGACCTTGGTTGATCAGTCCTTGGTTTTGATGATTAACAAACCAAAATGTAGATTTGGACTAATGTTTTTATGTGAGAAATTTGTTAGAACAGGTTATTGATCCAAAAGAGAATCGAAAAGATTTGAATCAAAGAGAAGTTAAGAAATATGAAGGTTCGGACGTAGAGGATCGGACGCTCGATAGAGGATCGATCGTCCGACTGACGACGATACTCGTCGGACGCTTGGATCGCACACTCATTCATTGCTTCGGCCGTCCGACACAAAAAGAATGAACGTTGAACATTCTGATTTCTATCGGACGCAGGGTTTGGACGCAGAACAAATGGTTCGGACGTCCGATAGGTGGTTCGGACGCATGGTTCGGACGCAGAGCAAATGGTTCGGACGTCCGACAGGCCAACGACTAGTTTCGACAGCATTTAATATTTGACCGTTGGAGAGCCTTTTGGAGTCATTTCTCACCTTCTATAAATACCCCAAAGCACAAGAAGACACGGACTTTTGGCCAACACTAAATACAAGCTTACAAGTGAGATTTTTGAGTAGAAATATTCTTTGTTGGCTGTATAAGGGGTTGGGAAAGTTGGGTTGTGAGGTTGCTCAAGTGAAGGTTACTCTCTAGGAGGAGTAAAATCTTGGTGAAGGTGAACCTATCACTTGGAGTGGTAAAATCTTGATAAAGGTTGCCTCACTTGTATAAAGTAGTTCTTAATTGAAAGAGTAAGCTTTCAATTGTAGCTAGTTGAGGGTTTACTTGGAGAGTAGTAAAATTCCTTTGCTCAACCAAAATATGTTTGGGGTGAGGAAGGAGTGAG